TGATGGAGGGGAAGGGGTCAAGGCTTCACAGCCAGCATGAGGTGAGGGAGTGTGTGGGGCTGCAGAGTCAGAGGGGAGAGTGATGGAGGGGAAGGAGTCCAGGCTCCACAGCCAGCGTGAGATGAGGGGGTGTGTGGGGCTGCAGAGTCAGAGGGGAGAATGATGGGAGGGGAAGTGGTGGGGACACACGAGGTCAGTGGTAATGGACGGAAAGGGCAGGAGCAGGGGCTTAGGAGCTTGTGGGCCCTCACTCTCCTCCTTAGTGTCTCCGGGGCCGGAAGGCCTCCTTGGAGGAGCTGCAGTCAGTCCACTCCGAGAGGCACGTGCTCCTCTACGGTACCAACCCGCTTAGTCGCCTCAAACTGGACAACGGGAAGCTGGCAGGTAGAGCTCTGTGCTGCCTAGTGTTCCCTAGGTCCGGCCGAGGTCCAGCTCCATCCCTTTGCTCTCATCCCAGCCCTCCAGCATCCTTGCCTCCCCTGATCTCCTCTGTCCTCTCTGTGGCCCCCTCCTCCTCCCCCTACCCTGTTTCTTCTCCTCACACCCCACCCCCCACCCCCAGGCCCTCTTATCAGGGCCTCCAGCTCCTGCCAGGCCAGAGGCTAAACAAACTCATATTCACACGGATGGCGGACCTCTCCCCACAGGGCTCCTGGCACAGCGGATGTTTGTGATGCTGCCCTGTGGTGGGGTTGGGGTAAGTGTGCCCGGGGGTCCCAAGTGGGCATTGCCAAGGGCTCTCTGAGCTCCTCCCTTCAGTTCCCAGGCCCAGCCCCTGCCTTCTTGTTCTTGGGGTTCTGCAGACTAGGTGGGCCAGGGAATTTCCTATGATGCCCTGGAAGCCCTGCTGGTGTATAAGATCCTGTGGACAGTGTGCCCTTGACCATTAGTGTCTCCTGAGTGTGGAGCCCAGAGCCTCTCACTTAGAAGGTGTTTTGTAACTATTGAGTGAGAGAGTGATTTTGAGGCTTAAAAGCAGGGCCAAGATTGGGGCCTGGGATTGTCTGCCTTTGTAAGACCCCTGAGTCTGGACATTGGCCACACCACAAGCCCCAGATGGCTTTGCCTGCCCTGGACAGGGCCTCCCAGCACAAGTAGGGGCTGCCTCTGGACTGTCCTCAGCATTGGCCTGCCGGGGTGGGGCTGTGATGGTGTTTCTGGTGTCCCTGCCTCAGGACACAGCCCTTCACTGCCCAGCTTTGCTTCCTCGCTCCTCACTCTGTTTTAGGGGCTTCCAGCCTCCTCTAGGGGAGCTCTCCTTGCCTAAAAAGTCCCCACAGTGTTGTTCCCTGTGAGGTGTGGAGCAGGGGATAGAGCCTAATTCTGAAGGGAAAATGGGAGCTGTAGCTGGTGGGAGGGCTGTTTGGGAGCCAGCCAGTGCCCTATTCACAACTTCCCATTTCTTGCCACTTTCTGATTTTTCCAACTGTTGTTGCTTCTGTTTTCCCCTCCCTCCTCTCCCTCTCTGTCTTTCTTTCTCTCTCTCTTTCTCCAGCCTCTTGCGACTCTCTCTGCCTTCCTCGCCTCTCTTGGTCCGCCTCGCCCTCCCCATCTCCCCATCATGCCCCCCGGCCCCTCCCTAGCCTTGAGGCCCAGGGACTGGGTTTGGGGGGCCTCCCAGCCTGGGCTAGGGGCCCTGAGTGGAAGACAGTGGTGCAGACGGCCCCTCCAGCTCCGACCATCCCGCAGGGCCTGAGCAGAGTCAGCTGGGGCTTAAAACCCCCTCCCGGCCCAAACCCCAAGTCCCGCCCAGGTAACGCCATGCCCCCTCCCCCGAGCGGGGAGGCAGGCGTGATGCTGCTGGCAGAGTGCTGGCCAGATATGGGCTGGTGCTGGGACTGAGGCTGGGAAGGAGCCATGCTGGGATTGGGGGACACAGGAGGCCTTGCCTTGGGGCGGTGGGGCACTGGGGAGGCAGCACTGTCTGCCCAGCTCCCTGCCCCTGGGGTCCTGGCCATGGGGTGGGCACTGCCCCATGGGCCCTGGCACCTGTAGGAGGCCCTGGGTGATACGGGCTCTGACTCTGGCCCCACAGGTGGACACTGACACCATCTGGAATGAGCTGCACTCCTCTAATGCAGCCCGCTGGGCTGCGGGCAGCGTCACGGACCTCGCCTTCAAAGTAGCTTCCCGTGAACTAAAGGTAGGAGGTTGGGGTGAAGGTGGGCAACCTGTGGAGGAAGCTGCAGGACGGGGCAGCAGGGAAGGCCAGGCCCAAAACCCCAGACAAGGGTGTCTGTGGCCAAAACTCTCTTTCCTCTTGGCTATGACCCAGCATTTTGGAAAGGAAATCAAGGGCTTTGGGACCAGGGTGAGATTTGAACCCTAGGCTCATGTTTCTTGGTGAGGAGTCAAGCCTCTGTGACCCTGGACCCTTGGTCTCTAAAAGATTCAGGGTAATGATCATCCAGGACTACAGGCAAGTACAGAACTTCTCTAGACCTCAGACACCGGTCAATTCGTTCTTCCCAGTACTGAGTTTATAAAAACCGAGTTGGTGCCCATGTTCGTTTGCTCTGACCTGGGCACCTTACCGTGACTTGTCCTAAGGTTCACTGTCAGAAGCCCTATTGTTTAGAAGCTTGCAGCCCAAAGTGGCCAGAGTGTCCTAAACATCCCAGCCCCTTGGTGGAGCTTTGCAGTGAAGAACACAGCCCCAGCAGCAGCTCGAAAGGTCAGGTAGGAAGCTTAGGGCGCAGTGAGTTTATGTTAATGGGGAGGACCAATTCAGAAAAGGAGGGTGAGAATGGTTGTACAACTTGAAGAATGTAATCAGTGTCACTGAACTGCACATGTAGAAATTGTTGAATTGATATATGTTGTGCTGTGTATATTTTCAACAACAAATTTTTTTTTCTTTTTTTTTTAAAAAAAAAGCACAGTCGTTGTTTTAAAATCCTGGCTCCACCATTTACAACCAGGAGACTTCGGACAAGTTGCTTAACCCCCCAAAGCTTTAGATTTCCCTTCACCTGTAAATTGAAGACTGTGATAATGTTTACCATACCTCATGGAGATGTTGTGAGGGTTAGATCATGTTTACCTCATAGAGCTGTTGTGAAGATGAAACCCAGCATTTCAAAAGTGCTTAGCACAGTGCCAGGCACATGGTTGTTGCTCAATAAACAGTAGCTGTTGTTATTACCAAGTGATAGCAGTCAGGCACGCCATGGCTGGTTCTGTGTGCATGTCCAGCCCGAAAGGAGGACAGAAGCATGAAGAGTGGGGCCGAGTGGTGGGCACTTCACATCCAGCCTGGGCACAGTCAGACATGCCAGCAGCTGTTGCTTCTTCTCAGAGGAGGTTCCTTGGGGTGGGGAAAGGTTCACGCAAATATGGGTCAGAGGTCTGGCTGTTTGACAAGTGTTCTTTCTGTTTCCAGAATGGTTTTGCTGTGGTACGGCCCCCAGGACACCATGCAGACCGTTCCACAGCCATGTAAGGCCTAGGGGAGGGTTGGTGGGGCTGGGGTAGGCCTGGATAGAGTGGTGTGGGTGGCAGGCCCTGGGACCTTCCTATCGGGACATGCTCCCTCCTTCCTCTGAGCCTTCTGGGGCTGGAGAGGTGAGGGTGTGGGGAGGGAATGGCCTGGCAAGACCTTTCTCTCCTCCTGTCAGGGGCTTCTGCTTCTTCAACTCAGTGGCCATAGCCTGCCGGCAGCTGCAACAACAGGGCAAGGCCAGCAAGATCCTTATTGTGGACTGGGTATGTCCTGGTTCCTAGCCCCCTTAGAATGGAGAGTTCTGTGGGAAGAGACCTGAGCCTGGTGTCAGAAGATGTAGCTTAGGTCCTAGTTCTGCAGTAGCCTCCTCGAGCCCCAGTTTCTCCTGTGGAAAATAGGATTGAAGATAATAGCCACCTCACAGGGCTATTGGGAGGCCCAGAGGAGATAGTGTGTGGGAAGGAACTCCCAGAGAGGACGGGAGGTTTCATTTGCATTGTCTTTTGGCATCTATTGGCTTCTTTCAGGAGGCCTAGTAATTCTTGCATTTCCCCTACAGGTAGTAATAATAACAGTAGTAGTAAATAACATTAATATACCGCTAATCACATTTAGATGCTAATGGTTTTACATACTGTGTTTAATCCTGACCATAACCCATTTTACAGATGAGAAAACAGCACAGAGAGATTATTAGTACACAGTCACATACCTAGGGAGTGGCAAGACTGGGATTTGAACCCAGCAGGTTAGCTCTAGAGTACATGCATTTAACTACAAGCTACATCACTTCTGTGTTGACAGCTGTGAGTGGGACATTTCTAAGCAGAAGTTGAGATCAGTGGAGGAACTTTCCACACTGGAGCCTGTAGGTAGTCCTGGGAGTGACCGAGTGCAGGGATACAGCTCTTCCAGGAGGGCTGACTCCCACAATTGTTACCAGCCTTGAAACCTTTCCAACCTGTGCCAGCCTCCATCTCACTGCTTTCAGACCTTCCCTCATCCACCACCCATCTCTCTGCACAGGACGTTCACCATGGCAATGGCACCCAGCAGACCTTCTACCAGGACCCCAGTGTGCTCTACATCTCCCTGCATCGCCATGATGATGGCAACTTCTTCCCAGGCAGTGGGGCCGCTGATGAGGTAGCTGTGTGGCGGGTCTGCATCTCCCAGCCCTATCGACTCTCATCTCTGGTGCTAACTCGGCCTCTGTCACAACTAGCCGTGTGATCCTGGGCAGACTGTATAGCCTCTCTGATGCTCAGGTTCCCCATCTGGAAAGTAAAGAGACTGGACGAGCTGGTCTTGCAGCGCTAACATCTTGGGATTCTGCTAACATCTTCTGGAATCTGCTCTCTTCATATCTCACTTGCTTCTTGTTTTCTAGGTGGGGGCTGGCAGTGGTGAGGGCTTCAATGTCAATGTGGCCTGGGCTGGAGGTCTGGACCCCCCCATGGGGGACCCTGAATACCTGGCTGCCTTCAGGTAGGTGCCCTGGGGGCACAGAGGTGGCCGGACCCAGAAAGGCCTCCCTTTCCTGCCCCTCTCCCAACAGCACCAGGTTGGAGGTGACCAGTTGGCTTGTTGGCGTGTCCCAAACCAATGACTGGACACTAGGCCAGCCCAGGGGTGGGGAAAGGTACAGTTACTGGCCTGTAGGGGTCTCCAGTCCTGATACGAAGACAGGACACGCACAAGAGTGAAAAAGTCAAAGGGTGTTTTATTAAGTCACACATTACCAAGAACCAGTGTAGAACTGAGTTCTGGGAGCTGGACAGGGTAGAGTGGGCAAAGCTGTCACATTTAGTCAAAGAAGGCTGCCTGGAGGGGTTGGGCTTTCAGCAGGAGATGAGGAACTTAAACCGATGGAGAAAGAGTGAGAGCAGATGATATCCACCTGGGAGAGTTACCTAAAAAAGCCATTCTAGAAGAAGGGCTTTGGGCTCTGTTCAGGAGCCCTGTGTCTGTTTCACTCTGGAGTCCCTGCATGCCATTTGGGAAAAAAGAAATAGGAAATAGGTCTCCTAATGCTTTTCTGGAGATATTCTCTACAAGAGCCCATTCTGCAGGACCACATGATGGGGTCCCTGGCTTCTGTGTGCCCAGAGCCCAAGATCCTGTAGGATACCAAAAGGGACCCCAAGGCTATGTTGTGGCTGGAGGAAGGTAGCTATGGGAGCCAGGCAAGGGGACAGCATGAAAGAATGGAGCCAGGTGGCCCAGGACCTCAGAGGGTCTAGTTGCCCCAGTTGGCTCTCAGTTGGTGAGTGGTGGGGTGTGGTCAACTCAGTCCAAGGTGAGCAGCAGCTGAGTGCCAAGAATTTTGTTCCAGAGGCTTAGTGACCAGAGCCCAGCTTGGCCACCTGTGAGATAGTCCCTGCTCTGTGGCCCTGCCTGCGTACCCCACAGGCATGCATGTGCGCGCACACACACACACACACACACACACACACACACACACACACACACACACACAAATTTACACATACACTCGCTTTCACACTCACACATATACTCACAGACACGTACTGACACACACACATACACACACACTCATACACATATAGTCTCTCACACACATACACACACTCTCAGTTGCTCTGGTGTCCATCCTTGGCTCCTTTCTGCCTCTTGCTATTTAAGTGCCCTGGGCAGCTGAGTCCTCAGGCTGTGTCAGGGACATACATGGGTGGGTAGCCAAGGGCAAGGAGGTCAGAGGGACCCTGCTAGGGGATTGGTGTCTTGGAGTCCTAAGAGCAGGGTGCCTCACAGAAAAGCTGGTGGGAGAGGGCTGGCCATGTATGTGCCGGGCAGGGCCGCACCCCCTCCCCTGGCAGCCCTGACAGTGCGGTGAGCCCCCCTTCTCCTCACAACCTCACAGGATAGTCGTGATGCCCATTGCGCGAGAGTTCTCTCCAGACCTGGTCCTGGTGTCGGCTGGGTTTGATGCTGCCGAGGGTCACCCGCCCCCACTGGGTGGCTACCATGTGTCCGCTAAATGTAAGGAGGGCTGGCCCAGGGGAGGTAGGGAATGAGGGCTGGGCTGGGGTGGGAGGCCCCACCAAGCCTCAATGGGAAGGTGGCACTGGCTGGCCCAGGTCTGGGAGTGTGAGGACTGGGGTGTGGCCACTAGTCCTGGAATTTCCTGGGATCTCTTAGCCTAGCATAGCCCAGGGCCCTTCTTGTGACCAGATCAGCTCACCGCGGAGGACTTTGAGCTCATCATACCCCGGGGACTTAAGTCCATCAGACACCAGGCGGGAAGCTCAGCCATAGAACCCCCACCCCCACTGTGTTGGTCCCAGGCTGGGTTAGCAGTGTCTCCAGAGGGAGCGTGGGGAGGAAGAGTATTCCCAGAACAGAGGGAGCCCATTCAGCCCTCGAGCAATGGGCCTGGAGGGCAGAGAGAAGAGATAGTGTGGCTTAGTGACAGAGACCTAGGCTGGAGTTGCTGCCCAGTTCAAGTCCTCGTCCTGCCACTTACTAGCTGAGGGACCTTGCACAAGTCCCTTAACTTCTCTGAGCCTTGAATGAGGCATGTTGTTGTTGGGTGGCGTCAGGTCGATTTTTGACTCGGCGACCTCATGTGACAGAGCAGAACTGCCACAGAGAGTTTCCTAGGCTGTAATCTTTACAGGAGCAGATTGCCAGGTCTTTCTCCCACAGAGCAGCTGGGTGGGTTTGAACTGCCAACCTTTCAATTAGCAGCTGAGTGCCTAACTGTGGTGCCACCAGGGCTCCTTTGAATGAGGCATACTCCTAGGTTTTGCATGGGACTCAGTGAGAAAGTACTTGAGTCCTTATTTATAAGGGAGTAAGCAAGCAAGGAAACAGAGGGAGAGGATGGGTCTGCCTCTCCTCTAACCTGCCCCCTCCTGTTTCTTCCCACCTAACCATCTAGGTTTTGGGTACATGACACAGCAGCTGATGAACTTGGCGGGAGGTGCAGTGGTGCTGGCCTTGGAGGGTGGCCACGACCTCACCGCCATCTGTGATGCTTCCGAGGCCTGTGTGGCTGCTCTTCTGGGCAACAAGGTGAGCTGCCACCCCTGCATCCCATGCATGCATCTGTGGGGTAGGTGAGGCAGGCTTTCCTAGCCAACGCCCCAGGGAGCAGCCAGGTGGGGCACCTCCTTGATAGATACAGCTGGGGTGGCTAGGCCTAGGGTGGGCAGAGTGGATGCCTCTACCCCAGGTCAGGCCCCCGGCCAGTGTCTCCTGACCTAGGGTCCTTGGGGTGGGAGAGGGCTGGGCCTCCAGGCCTCCAAGAGACTGGTGACTGATGCACTCTTTTTTTGTAGGTGGATCCCCTCTCTGAAGAGGGCTGGAAACAGAAACCCAACCTCAATGCTATCCGCTCCCTGGAAGCTGTGATCCGGGTGCACAGTGAGTGTGGAGAGGACGCTTAGCCTAGAGCAGGGCAGCCACCTTCACCCAGAATTGAGAGAGCCTCCAGGCTCCACTGCTCCCAGTGACCAAGGTCCCAGGGCCTCCAACACTGCCCAGCAAGGGGTTCTGCTGCTGGTCTGGAGTGGGATTCCTGTGCGCTACCCCAGCAGTAATGGTGGGGTAGTCCCCCATGAGCAGATGCCCTCTGAGCCCTCCAGATGGACGCAGCAGGGGCCTCCTAGAGGCAGGGACCTGCCCCCACCTCTGTAGCCACAGCCCTAGACCAGGGCCAGGCTGACAGCAACACTCAGGCCTTATTTGCTGAGAGGCCTGGCTCCCACCTCTGCCCTCGGTCCTGGCCACAGGGGTCTTGGGGGCTCTGCCTGCTTTGGGGCTGGGTCTTAGGATAACACCCACATTGGGTGTTACATTTTGAACCTCAACTCAATATCTAATGTGCACTTTACGTGAAGGCCTGTGCTTCAGCGGGGGATACCAAAATGACTGAAATGGATTCCGCACAGCATGGGCTCAGTAGAAAGCATGCATAATAAAGACATGCTGGTACTTTCATGGAACCCTTCCACTGTGCCAGGGTCTGTGTCGGACGTGTCCTATACACATTATTTCTTAACCACTGCGGGCAGGATTATTATTCCTGTGGCATGGACGGGGCAGTGGAAGTCCAGGGAGGGTAGGCGGCTTGCCAGAGGCCACACTGTGTTTGTTCCCTGTCCCAGTCTTTCCTTTACTGTGTGCTGGGCTGAGCATGGGGGGGCTGCATGTGAGTGGGCTCCTGGGCTCAGGGATCTGTGAGGACCCAGACCCAGCCCCACCAGCAGATGGGCCCACAGTGCCCTTAGGAACGGCACACCTATGGGGAATGGGTCTGAGGTGGCTTCTTGGCCAAAGGGGGCAGGAGAATGACTTGGGCATCCACGAGGCCCCGCTCGTGGCCATGCTGGACTAGCTCTGCTCACCTGGCCAGAGCTGTGGGAGCCACGTCAGGGGTGGGTGTTGTGTTAAGCAGGGAGAAAGGGCAGGTGGCAGAGCTCACCCCAGGCTGAGGATACAACCACCACCCTCAGGCCCCAGCCTGAGACTCCAGCCCCAACGTCAGGTCTAGGGTGCAGGTGTGGCAGGACGCAGAGGCTTGTTTCCCCCCGCTTGTCTGACCTGGCTTCTTGCCTCAGGTAAATACTGGGGCTGCATGCAGCGCCTGGCCTCCTGCCCAGATGCCTGGGTGCCCAGGGTGCCAGGGGCTGACCCAGAAGAAGTGGAGGCAGTGGCTGCACTGGCATCGCTCTCCGTGGGCATCCTGGCTGAAGAGAGGTAATGTCTGAGCCCGGGAGACAGCTTCTGACCCCGCGGGTTCTCCCCAGCCCATGCCTCCCAGCCTTCTCGGACTTCTTGACCAGGGCTGGGAGGGAAGCTCAGCTGAGGTCCCTCCCCTGTCCCTCCCCCAGGCCCTCAGAGCAGCTGGTGGAGGAAGAAGAACCTATGAATCTCTGAGGCTTCAGATCGGATCTGCCCTCTCACCCCTGCCCTGTGGACCTGGTTCTCTTCTAACCTCTGGCAACAACACCTGCTCCCAGGTCTTCAGAGATCTGCGGGTGGGTGGTCAGGGCCAGAGAACAGCCTGCCTTGCCGTCACCCCAGGGAGCCCAAGAAGGCTCCTGGGCCTTGGGTGGGGACCAGAGAGAACCCTGAGAGGGGGCAGGCTGGGCAGCCATTTAGGCCCCACAGGACACTTCCCAGAACAGATTCTGCCCTTGGGGTCTGGGCCCCTGGCTGTGGCCCCTGTTCCTCAGGACTGCGCAGAGGACTGGCTTTGTTGGGCCCACCCTTAACCACTATTCTTGGCTCCACAGACCTGGGACTTTGCACACAGCCCCAGGCCCACACAGAAATGTGAACTTGGCCTCAGCCAGGGTGGCCCTTCCTAGGAGGGGCCAGAGGGAGAGGCCCCTAGGAGGGGAGGAGGACAAAGCCAAGGGTGCCACATCCCTGAGTGCAGGGGGAGTCCCTCCTCTGGCCTGTTTCCTCAAAATGACTCTGGAAGCTTCTACCCTCCACCACTGGGCACTGAGATGAAGCTCCCTCAGAGAGCAGTTACCAGCAAGCCTCCCATCCGGTTCTTGCCCCTGCCAGAGGCCACCCTACATCAACCACCTCAGTGCCCTAGTGGAGCAGACAGGTGCTCTTGGAGTTCTGTGCTTCCCAATCCAATGGTGCCAAACCTTTCATCTCCCCCTGGAAGCCCAGCATGAGCCCAAGGGACCCATCGGTCACTGCCCTCCCACCACCAGCCTTCGCTGTTTATGGGGTCTCCCCAACCCTACTCTGATTCCTGCCCCACGTAGGTCCAGCTTGGCTGAGGGGGAAAGGGGTGAGGAGAGTGAACACAAGACCAGGAGAAGGGGAGGCTGCCCTGGCAAAGTCTTCAAGGCTTCTGGGGTCTAGGACTGGGGCCAAGAAAGAATTTGTGTGTGTGTGTATGCCTGTGTGTGTGCACAGGGGTATGTATGTGTGTTCCCTAGACCCACCATACCCTGTGTTTGTGTGCATGTTTTTGTAAAAAAAAAAAAAAAATTTAAAAATGGAAAAAAAAATCTGAACAATAAATGTTTTATTTGCTTTAAAAGTGCAAGTGACAAGGGCTCCGGGGATGTGGAGTTCGTGTGCACACGGCCCTCCCGCCGCACAGCACAGCGTGCCTCTGGGTTGGTGCAGAGAAGGCACAGGTTGGGCTGGGGTGCAGTCCCCTGCTCTAGCTCCTTGCCCTTTCTTGGCAGCCGCCCTGCAGGAAGAATCTGTTCTGAACACACCCTAGCTGCCCCTGCCTGCCCCCACTCAGGGTAATGGAGAGGAGGCCCCTCTGGGCTAAGTCCATAGACGGGGCTGGCACACAGGGAGGGCCCAGCCCAGGTGTGTGTACATGGGGGCGGGGGAGCATAAATTCTCAGACTCAGCTCACTACAGCATTCCCAAAGAGCTGTGAATCAGACATCCCTGGGTTTAAGGCCCAACTGGGAGCTCAGGTAAGTCACATCATCTCCTGGGGCCTCTGTTTGTTTTATCATCAGTAAAAGGCTCCAGAAAAAGACACTGGTTATGGTTCCTTCCTGCTCTAATGTGCTGTGACTTTTTAAGCATATGCTGAGCCTAGAAGAAAGAATGAGTGAGACAGCAGGCCCGGACAAGCTCACCCAGTATAAGCAAAGAGGAAGGCCCTGGGCTGCCAGTACCTGCCTTCATGGTTCCGAGTTGCCAGGCTTTTTGCAGCCTGATTACCTCAGAGCTGGCTCCAAGCCCCCTCGGCCTGGGAGAGCATGAAGGGAAGAGGTAGTCTGCTGCTTGTCCCCTTCCCATCTGCCCCGGCCCTTCAGGGTCAGGAACACCAAGTCCCATTGGGGTGGCCGTGGCCGTGACCATGGGCATCCTCATTTGGCTGGGGTGGGGGTGTGTGCTGAGGGCCAGAAGGGGCGACTGAGCTGGTGCATTCCCCCATGCCGGGGGGGCCTCCAGCTTGAGACACTGACCCCCTCCCTTGCCCTCTAAGGCACAGTCTGGGCTAGGGAAGCCACCTAATCAGATAGTTAGCGAACTTCTTCCCCCACAGACCTTCCCACAGACCCCCCCCCCAATATTCCCACGTGACAAGAAACAACCCGAGGCTGGCTGATAGAAATGGCAGGTGTATTTCTGCTAAAGTGACAGTGACACAGACAAGGCAGAGCTCGGGGCAGGACACATCAGGGGAAAAGGGGCAGACCGTGCAAAATGGCAACCTAACGTAAAAAGATTTACCGGTAGCCCCTTGCCTCCCAAGTCAGGTGAGCCCTTGGGCCAGTGTATGGGCAGAAAAGCAGATTCTGTCCTTCAGAAGGGGGGAAGGGAGGTGTCATGGCTGGGGTGATCTGGGCACACTGAGGAGCAGGTGTGAGAAGGCAGGGTGGAAACCCAAGGCTGGAGGTGCCTGGGTACAGGCTTGGGGGCTCTTTCCAGCCTGCACCATACTGCCTCTCCCCCAAAGCCCTTCAGGAGGCAGGAGCATATTCCCGACCCAACCCTTAGCCTGCCCTCAACTCCTGCTCTGGGGCGTGTGGGGTGTGTGTGAGAGTGGCGACAGATGACTGCCTAGCTCTAGCACGCTCATGGAGGCCAGCTCTGGGTGAAACAGGATAGGAGGGACACAACTCTCCACTCAGCTTCCCAGGCCTTGGGGAAAGAGTCCAGTGTTGCCACCCTTGGGCTCCTGAGTTAATCTACCTGACCCTTGGGGGACAACAGGATAGGGTGTTGGGTAGAAGTGTATGTACTTGACCTGCCCTGCCCAGGCTGTCACCCTAGCTCAGGGAGAGTGGCTGGGGCAGCAAGGACCAAACCACCTGCCCCTGCAGCCAGGCAGAGATCAGGGTCTCCAGGACCTACCCCTTGACCTCGTTGCCCTAGCCCTACCTGCAAAGATTCCTCACTGAGTGCTAAGAAAATAGATCCATTTGAAAAGGTCTAAAGCTGCCTTCCAGCCAGGCTAATGAGGATCAACATAGCAGGACCCCCTTTCTACCACACCTGAGTCTTCCCCCAAAGGAGGCAGGGCGGCTTCCAGGAGGCCATACTCGTCCTGCTGTGTACTGCCCCAGTTCTGGGGTGCCCAGGGCATGGGGCAGGCCCGGCTGATGTCTCAGAGGCTGAGTCCAGGTCCTGAGGACCCCCAGAGTGCAGAGACCTCACCCCTGGGTCAGAAATCGCTGAGGATGCTGATGTCGGCGAAGTCAGCCCGGTAGCGGTGTGCATAGAGGCTGAGCAGGAAGGCCCACTTGAAGGAAATGAAGCTCCAGATGCAGGAGAGGTAGTAGCTGTTGGGGTCTGTGAGGCCTGTTGGGGGAGAAGAGCCCAGACCTTGACTCAAGAGGGTCTTACCAGGCCACGAGCCCAGGGTCGCTCAAAGTCCTGCCAACACTGGTTAGCTGAATCAATCCTACAGAAGACTTGAGTGTGACACAGGTTTTAGAGCATCCCAGGGTTTGGAAGGAGACGGGCAGGGGGACCAGAGATGGTGGGAACTGGGGAAGGTCAGGGCTGGCCAATCACAGGTCTGTACCATATATACTTTTGCAACATTTACCCTAGGCTGCTTCCAGCCTGTTTTAGCATCAGACTCCTTAGGGGCAAGGAGAGGAGCCTTTGGCTACTTCCTGGTCATAGCCACCAGAGGGCACTCCCACCCCAGAGCTGGGCAGAAAGACTAAATGGTACCATCATTTATGGTTGCTTACATGCAGGGCTTTGAACTGGTTCTTCCGGTTTGAATCCCTGGTGAGAATCTGCATTTCTAACAAGTTCCCAGGTGATGCTAATGCTGTTGGTTAAGGACCAGTTCTGAGAACCACTAGTAGAGCAGTGGTTCTGAAAACTTATTATACGTAAGAATCACCTGAGGATCTTGTTAAACTGAAGATTGTGATTCAGTATATCTGGGGGTGGAAATGCAAAGTCTCAGCAGGGGTTTGAACCCGACTGAACTGGTTCAAAGCCCTGCTTACATGTCCCCTCACCGTGCTAAACACATCACACGCGTTTCATTGAATCCTCCCAACCCCAGGGGGTGGGTACGCTCACATTTTTTTTTTTAACCATGAGAGGGTAAGTGATCTGCTCAGTCCCTGGAAAGAAAGCTGCGGAGCCAGGACTGGAATCCCAGGGTCTACTCCTAAGTCAAGGAGCCCTGGTGGTGCAGTGGTTAAGCACCTGGCTGCTAACCGAAAGGCTGGAGGTTTGAACCCACCAGCCGCCCTGTGGGAGAAAGACGTGGCAGTCTACTTCCATAAAGATTTACAGCCTAGGAAACCCTATGGGGCAGTTCTATTCTGTTCTATAGAGCTTCTATGAGTCAGAATCAACCTGATGGCAGTGGGTTTGGGTTTCCTCCTAAGTCGCCCGCTCCCGGCCAGCCGGCCCTCCCGCCCCCTCCCTGGAACGGCCCTCACTCTGGCGCCGGTTGATGGCCAGCACAAGGAAGGTGCTGAAGGCGGCGATGGAGACGGCTGAGAAGAGGACGCCCACGAAGAAGAAGCCACGCAGCCCTCTGAGCCAGGTCCTCCAGTAATCCTGCATGTACATCACGTGTGTCACCAGGACCCAGAGTGCCAGCACACCTGTGGGGACAGGCTCCGTCAGTGGCGACACTAGCCATCCACCCTCCCAGGCTGCCGGTCCCCTTTCCTCCAAACAGCCCCTCCTCACCCCCACCTTCAGCTCAGTAACCAGGACACAGGGTGGGGGAAATCTACTAGGCCTGGCTTATTTGCATAATAATGCAGTATACCTGGGAAGGCCAGAACCTGTGTAAGGCAGAAACCTGTCAGAGAAGGAAAATTCAAATATTTTCCACTAAAAGGACCGACAGAAAAATGGTAAGACTGCACTCCATCAAAGGCGGAAAACTTGCGAGACCCAGAAAAACAAGGCAGTCCTGTTGAGTTCCATTTCACTGTGCTGACATCATACTGGCCTTTTTCACTTTCCTCTTATGACTGCATGATGGAGTTTTCTGCAGGCCACACCACACATGATATCACAATGACTTGAATGCAGACACAGATAAGAGTATCTAGCTGCCTTCTGTTAAGCCAGACATTAAAGAGCTCTGCAAACATATTAAACCATGTCACTGTTCTCCCTAATTTGTCTTGGAAAATAGAAATGTTTCTCACAAAAATATTATTTATGTTAATCTGTTATTTTTAATATTACTTCAAAATGTTTAAGAATGTTCTCAGTTTTAATTTCTAATATGGTTACATATCAATAGCTAGAACCCATATAAACAAAATGTCTTTGGAGTTGTACTGTTTTTCAAGAGTGTATAAGGGTTCCGAGACTACAAAGTTTGAGAACTGCTGCAGTCTAGCATGCTTTCCAAGGACTCCCCACTACCTACCACCCCGGATGCCCCTCAAGGGCCAGAACTCTGCAGTCAACTCTCTCAAGGCCCGTGGCCAAGTTCTCGAACAGCAGGGCTCTTCCCAAACTCCTTTACTGTTCTTGCAGGACATATAGGCCCAGCCTTGACACATGGCCAGACCTGAGGACCCCAGGGCCACCCAGGATCCAAGTGGCCTCCTTCTTGCTCTTGGCCAGACCCCCCCGCCCTTCCCTGGACCTGCCCTCCAGGATGACATCTCCTCTAGAATGCCAACTGCCACTCAGCCAATACAATGAGTGCCCTCTGTGCCAGGCAGTGACTGCTGGTGCAGCCCGAAGGGTGGAACAAATACCAATTCCATTGGTCCCCAGCAAGGAGGGAAGGAGGAAAGCGGCAGAGCCAGCTGCAAGCTCCCAGCCTGCTGGTCCATAGGATGTGGGCCACACAGGCTGGGACCCCAGGAGTCAGCAGACCTTTCAAAGAGGGAGCTGCATACAGTCCTGTGTTTCTTACACATCACAGTATCCAAAATGTGCAAAATGTCCAAAATAAGCATCGGGTTGGGGAAAGTGGTTATCTCTGGTAAGGGAGAAGAAGAAGGGAAGTTGATAGGGAGGTGAGGGTGGGGCGGGTGCTTTGACTAAATCAATGATATTTTATTTCTTAGGCTGGGTGGTGAGTGTAAGAGTGTTAAATCATCTATGCCTGAAATAATAATTTTTTTCTTCAATTGAAAAAAAAAGGCAGGAAGAGTTTCATCACGGAGCTATGCTCTGGTTACCAGCTCAGAAGCAGTCGCAGTTCAGGCGGCCTGGCGAGGGACAGAAAACCATGGAAGCCTTGGCCTGGCATTGCTGGGCTGCTCACCACCTCCCAGAGCCCTGGTGTTTCCACCTGTATAAACGGTGAGCCTAAGGATCTCTGCCAGCCTGGGTGCTCAGGGAACCCAGGGTTCCTTCCCAGCAAGGGCAGAGGCCCATCAGCCCCCACAGCTCGCCCTCCTCACCCGTGTCACCTACACTGCTCTGGCTCTGCCCCTGCCCACCCCCAACCTTCCTCGGGGCTGGGGGCCTGGGACCTGGGTCCCTCCACCCAAGGTCAGGGTGAGGCAAGACAAGCATCTCTCCATCCCTACCGAGGCAGGAAACTGGAGCGAGCAGGGGAGGACAGAGTAAGAATCCCACAGCCTCAACTTAAATCTTACATAATCCGGATTTCATGCTGGCCACCTTTCCCAGAAGTCTTTCCATTCCTCTTACGTTCATCCTAAGTTTTTATCTGAGGGAGCTGTCTGATTTCTTAAACGGCCCTAGGAAGAAGGCTTCTGGCCAATGGGCACATTCCAGGAACAGTCAGATGGCACCTGTCTGGGAGAGGTCCTCATGCCCTCTGCCTGGGTGGATCAGATGAGTTCTATGATCCTTTCCTACTTGAAGCTTCTAGAAGCCATCGTAGGAGAAAAGGAAGGAGGTCTGAGCAATTCCTCTATGACTCAGCATTTCTGGGTCAGAAACTGCTGAAATAAGGGCCAGTGAACATGCCATCTTTTAGTCCACTGGCCATGCTCCAGTGATGCTCCCAAAACACCCACCTACAGACATACTCACACGCACCTACCAAAAAGGGCTGAGAGCAGGAGGAAAAGGAAAGTGGCATTAACCCACCCCTCACCTCCAGACAAACACATGCCAAGTCTGGAAGCAGGCCCACTACCACCCACTCTGGCTCTCACCACTTTCCTTGGAAGAGAGCCCTCCCCCACCAATTCCACCCATGGTGCTCACTGAAGGGGGCAGGGATCCCTCACTGGTGCCCTCCCCACCCTTCACTGAGCTGCACAATTCCGGGCAGAATGGCCAGGCCCCAACCCATCGGTTGCAGGCCCAGAGGCAGACCTCACTCCTCACACCACTCTGCCTGCTCTGAGGCGGCTCCCAACTGACAAGCTAAGGCACAGGGTGGATCAGTCAAAGTACCCCAGTAGCTGGGCTGGAGGTAAGAAGACAGGAGAAGCCACGAGGAACCCACAACGTGAATGCAGACCAGCGAGCAGGACACTTACGTTCTCGCACCCTGGCCCTCCATGCTTCCCCTGCGGGAGGTGAGGCCCAGAGCCTCTGTGTGCCTCTTGCTCAAACACAGAGCCGTTCATACTCCTGGGGCAACTGCTCTAATCTTTTTCTCTTTCCTTGGTCTATTAAACCTAGAGCAAGAGTCTGTGTGCGTTTTCCCCATGATTCCTACGGCAAAGCCAGAGCAGGAGGTCCAATTCAGGCCTCTCCAGGAAAACTGCTCTTTCTTCCGCCACCATCTTTCCTTGAAGCCACTTCATCCCACATATTCACCGGGGCGGGAGAGTGTGTCCTCACCCATGAACTCTCCTCCCACCAGAAGCAGGGGCTCCACAGCCGACACTGCCAGAAACCAGCCCCCCGCCCAGCCCCAGCCTGGTCCCACACTCGGGGGAACGGAGCACGTGGCGGCTGCCCTCCAGTGACTCAGCAGTTTCTGGGCTGGAAAACCCTAAGTCAGAAGTGGAGTGCTTACAAGTCAGCAAAACCACTGACACTTCACCCCCAAAAGAGGAAGAAGGCTCACTACAGACCCTCTCATGGTGTCACGTGGCCCTGGCCCAGCACCACCCCCTACCTACCCCAAGCAGCTCTGGCTCTTCCGTGGCCACCTTCTGGTTGTCAGCGGTCAGAACTGTCAGGGAGATGCCAGGGCTCCAGCTGACGGCTGCCCTCATGCCTCTCCCTGCAGGCGGCTCCACAGCTGGCCAGCTACAGAGGCCAAGGGAAGCCGCAGAGGGAGAGAGGGCAGAGTTTGGGTCAGAGGGAAACCCCAGGGAACTCCCCGGAGTTCAAGCCAGAGGGCCTTTTCCATGGCCCTCTAACAGGCAGCTGGAAAGATTCAGAGAGTAGACACCAGAATTGTGAAATTTCAGACCTGGAACGGAGTCTTAGAGATCATCTCTTTTGGTGGCAGCACCTCCCACTCCTTACAGATGAGGAAACTGAGGCCCAGTGACGTGCCCAAGGTCACATGGCTAAGGAAGGCTTATCTCCACCTCCACCAGGCCAGACTCTAACAAACCCAGCTCTGATCCCACGATCCATCCTCCCTCCTAACCCTCAACCCTCATCTCAGGCCTTATGCAACCACAAGGGACCAGGCCACACACACCTCTTTCCAAAGGACAAAGCAGCAGGGCCAACAGGAAACAGAAAAAGAGTTTTGAGAAGTGAACCTTGAAGAACGTGGTGGGTGGTAGGGGTGCAGAGGGAAAAGGAGCAGTGGTCTGCAGGTAACTGAGCAGATGGACTGCTGCCCCAGGAAGGACAGGAACCCATAGGTCGTGTGGCATCTAGGCAGGCACAGGAATGTTCCAGCCAGGGCCCCCACCTATCCTTCCTTGGTGACCCCCAGTGCTTTGCTAGGCTTTGCTTAGGCTGTGGCCATGCATGCCCCTCTTATAAGGCAGAAACCTCACCTCCCATTCTTTCTCCACCATGAATGGAGCTCAGTAAGTTTGGTGGCAATGAGTAAATCTAGTTATTTTTAGTTACTCCATTTTGGCTCCTTCTAGCAGACGATGTTAATAATGGAATATGATCATCATATGTAAAAGTACATGCATTTTTCCCCCAAAGTGCTTTTCCCACATGTATTATTTCATGTAGCTGTGTAACCCCAAGCAAGTTATTTACTTACTCTGAAAGCCTCAGTTTCCTCATCTATAAAATGGACACGACAATAATGCTTTTTCATAGTGTGAATGTAAGGATTAAATGAGATAATGAAAATAAATTGCTTAAACATTGCCTGGCACATTGAAAACAAACAGACAATGTTAGCAAGTAAAAATACTCGTCGTCTTCACACCAGTTCCACAGCAGAACGGTGAAATGGCTTCCCCAAAAACGTGCACACCAAGCTGGAGCAGGGGGGAGCACTGGCCATCCATGAGCCTACTGATGTACTAACTCTAGCACCCGCCTCCCCACCTCCCCTCTTCTAGGCAAATAAAAGCGTTGTCAAAAGGGTTTAGCAGACCCCAGCCAGGGAGCCACAAAAGTGCGGGGCGGGGGCGGGGGGGAAGGAGCAAAGAGACACCGACGAGGGTTCGAAGAAGGATTCCAGTTTCCACCTGATGCCTAGTGCAGTTCTCTTGAGGGTTCTCTTGGTGCTGGGGAGTGCCCACTTGAAGGAGGCAGATGGGCTTCCAGCGGAACCCCCCAGCCCTCCCTCTTGGTTCTGCTCCTTTCCCCGTTTATTCCCTTTCTCTGCCCTACCCAGCCCAGGGGAAGAAGCGCTGGAGGGGCGGGGATTCCCGGGTGGGGAGGCGGGTGGGTAGTGTTAGTGTGTGTGTAGAGGGTCTTCACACCTAGCCGTGTAAGAGGATGGCGAGAGAAGCAGGTGCGCAGAGAGGACGTCGTAATTGGAGAACTGGGCAGAAGGGGCCGACAGAAAGGGTGCGGAGACCAGATAACTCCGGTGGCTGCGTGCGGAAGGCGAGGCCGAGGCGGGGGACCGCGAGGCAGGTTTGTGCAAATGGACGTCGGCGCTCTAGGGACGCGCCCGGGTCCCGAAGGCGCGGGGAAGAATGCCCAGGAGCCCCGGCAGGCGGGGCCTGCGCTGCCCACAACGTTCTGGGTAAACACCCAACCCGCTCCCCGGGAAAGCGCCTCCCGGAGCAGCGGACAGCGCCCTCCCAGCAGGGGCACGCGTGCAGCCGGCCGGGAGCCGGGACCGCGCGCCCCCTCGCCCCGCGCGCCCCCGGTGGGTACCTGCGAATCCCCCCATGGCCGCGGTCGCCGGCTGTCTGTAGACGACCGTCCAGACGAGGAAGATAGAGAAGCCGGCCACAGAGCTGATGCCCGAGTAGGCGGCGCGGAGGCCGAGCTGCAGCCGGGACGGGGCCATGGGGCTGCGGGCGCCAGTCAGGTCAAAGTGCGAGGACGGCCGCGGCGCAGCCGAGACTCACAGGTGCAGGGCCGGGAGCCGGGAGCCGGGAGCCCTGAGCCCTGAGCCCTGAGCCCTGAGCCCTGAGCCACCGACTGCCCCGCGCTCCGCCCCCGGCCCTCTCCCAGCCCGCCCCCGGTAAGGCCAGCACAGCGCCCCACCCTGGCCGGAGGCCGCCTACGCCCGGGACTGACAGAACATCTGGTGGTGCCTCTCAAAGTGAGGTTCCGGGCTGCCTGATCTTTTGGGAGGATGCTTGTTTTAAAAAAGGCAGATTCCCGAGCTAATCCTCCGGCCTAACGCCTAACGTATCAGGATATTTAGGCCTTGGCGGAGGCCTGGGATTGTGTATATATACAAAAACCTGTGGCAATTACTTTTAAATTTTTATTTCTGAACAGTAGGCACATTCTCATTTAAAATTTCAGATTTCAGTTACTCTTTAAACTTCTCATTAAAAATTAAGGCATAATTATAATGATATATTACCAATTGAATTAAATTGAGAGTCCAGAAATAAATCCATACATCTAAGGTCAACTGATTTTCGGCAAGGGTGCTAAGTCCATCCAATGGCGAAAGAATAGTCTCTTTAATAAGTGGCGCTGGGACAACTGGATTTCCACATGCAAAAGAATGAGCCTGGACCCATACCTCACACCATATAAGAAAACTAACTCAAAATGGATCAAAAACCTAAATGTAAGAAATAAAAGCATAAAACTCTTAGAAGAAAACATAGGGGTAATGCTTTGGGATCTAGTTTTTAACAATGGATTTTTAGATATGACACCAAAAGAACAAGCAACAAAAGACAAAATAGATAAATGGGAGTTCATCAAAGTTAAAGACGTTTTTCATCAAGGGACTTTAACAACAAAGTGAGGAGGCAACCTACAGATTGGGAGAAAATTTTATATATCTGATGAAGCCCTGGTGGTGCAGTGGTTAAGAGCTCAGCTGCTAACCAAAAGATCAGCAGTTTGAATCCACTAGCCACTCCTTGGGAAACCCTATGGGGCAGTTCTACTCTTTTCTATAGAGTTGCTATGAGTCGGAATTCACTCAATGGCAACAGGTTTGGTTTTTTTTAAATATATATTTGATAAAGGTTTAATAGCCAGAATATATAAAGAACTCCTACAACTTAACAACAAAAGACAAACAACCGAATCAAAAAAGGGGCAAAGGCTTTGAATAGACATTTCACCAAAGAAGAACTACAAATGGCCAAGAAGCACATGAAAAGATGTTCATGTCATTAGTCATTGTATGCCATCGTGTTGATTCGACTCATAGTGACCCAGTGTGACAGAGTAGAACTGCCCCATAGGGTTTCCTAGGCTGTAATATATACAGGAGCAGATTGCCAGGTCTTTTCTCCCGCAAAGCAATTGGTAGGTTTGAACTACCAGTCTTTCGGTTAGCAGTCAAGCACTTAACTGTTGTGTCACCAGGGCACCTCCATCAGTCACTAAAAAAAAAACAAACCTGTTGCCGTTGAGTTGATTCTGACTCATAGTGACTCTACAGGACAGAGTAGAACTGCCCCTTACGGTTTCCAAGGAGCGGCTGGTAGATTCAAACGGCCAATCTTTTGGATAGCAGCTGAGTTCTTAAGAACTGCGCCATCAAAACCACAATTAGATGGCTATGATCAGGGCGGATTAACCAGTAAGCAAGGTATGCATGAAGTTGTCAAGGATTTCATTTTACTTGGATGCACTATCAATGCCCATGGAAGCAGCAGTCAAGAAATCAAAACGACGCATTGCATTAGGCAAATCTTCTTCAAAAGACCTCTTTAAAGTGTTAAAAAACAAAGATGTCACTTTAACGACTAAGGTGCGCCTGACCCAAGCCTTGGTGTTTTCAATCACCTCATATGCATGCGAAAGCTGGACAATGAATAAGGAAGACCAAAAAAGAATCAATGCCTTGAATTATGGTGTTGGCAAAGAATACTGAAATATACCGTGGACTGCCAGAAGAACGAAAAAATCTGTCTTGGAAGAAGTACAGCCAGAATGCTTCTTAGAACTGAAGAGGACGAGACTTGGTCTTATGTCCTTTGGACATATTATCAGGAGGGACCAGTCCCTGGAGAAGAACATCATGCTTGGTAAAGTAGAGGGTCAGCAAAAAAGAGGAAGACACTCAACAAGATGGATTGACACAGTGGCTGTAACAATGGGCTCAAGCATAACGACTGTGAGCATGGGCAGGACCAAGCAGTGCTTCATTCTGTTGCACATAGGGTCGCTATGAGTTGGAACTGACTCGATGGCACCTAACAACAACAATAACAAGGTACGTACGCATAGGCTTATAGTAGGTAAGGTACGCATGAGCTTACTTGTGTTTACTTACTAATCTGCAGTGCACAATTTCACATGAGTTTCACTACATATTTGATATGTTGAGAAACTGGTGAAATTGTGCACTACAGATTAGTAAGCAAGCACAAGTAAACCCGTGCATACCTTGCTTATTGGGTAGTTCATCCCTGGAAAAAACAGAAAACAATAGATGTTGGCGAGGTGATGGAGAAATTGGAATCCTCACCCATTGCTAGCGGGATTAGAAACTGTTGCAGCACTGTGGAAAACAGTTTGGTGGTTCCTCAAAAAGTTAAACATAGTATTACCACATGATCCAATAATTCCACTCCTAGGTATATGCCCCAAAGAACTGAAAGTAGTAATGCAAACAGACACTTATATGCCAATGTTCATTGCCACACTACCCACCGTAGTCAAAGGTAGGAGCAGCCCAAATGTCCATCGACAGATGAATAGATAAACAAAATGTAGTACATACGTACAGTGGAATATTACTCAACCATAAAGAGAAATGAAGTTCTGACACGTGCTACTATGTGGATGAGCCTCGAAAACACTTACACTGAATGAAATAAGTCAGTCACAAAAGGACAAATATTGTATGATCCCACTTATAGGCAAGTGTATAGAGACCAAAGTTTTTAGTAGTTACCAGTGGTGGGCAGGAGAGAGGGAGAAAGAGGGGACTGATTGCTTAGGGGACACTGAGCTTCTGTTAAGGGCAATAGAAAAACTTGGAAACGGATAATGATGATGGTTGAACAACATGATTAACATAATTAATGTCACTGAATTGTACAGGTAAAAAAATGTTAAAATGGCAAATGTTTTGTTATATGTATAATTACCACAATAAAAATTTATCAAAAAAATTAAGGCATAAAATTTAAGAAACGTAAATGTACATGCCCTCATCAACCAGGTTCTCTCCCCAGAGTTTCTTTACGCACATCTTTGAAGATTCTTCCACACCATAAAGTTTGAGGACCCTGCAAAACCATCACCTTCCAGCCCCAAATACCTTACCCTCACTGACAACTCCCCTTTCCTTTCATCTTCATAAGCCTCATCTCTTTGCAAGCATCACTCTGAAGTGATTGCAGACAATTCTGAAGTAGAGACACAAATCTATAGCAGGAGTATATGGAACTATAGGCTGGGAGCTGGGGCCGGGGGGAAATCAAAGTAAACACAAGGGCTGTGCTCTCAAGCGCATATAATCTAGGTGGGAGGCCCATCACATACCTGGCACAGAATAAGTAACTGACACCCCCTGTATTCATTTCCTACTGCTGCTGAAACCATGTACCAAAATCTTGGTGGCTTAAAACACCACAAATTTATTATCTGCAGTTTTGTAGGTCAGAAGTCCAAAAATGGACTGCTGGGCAACATGGCGCTATAGACAGAAGCACCACACCATCCCTCCATAGCAAAGACCCAAAAAACTGAGTCAAACAGGGACAAACATCAATCCTGAAACCCTAAGCATCAAATGAAGAGATGAAGAACTCAGCCAAGCACTGAATGGAATAAGAAACCGACAGAGAACACAGAGTGAGGAGAGATATGTGCAGAGGTCCTCTATCAGCTAACACAGCACAGATTCGCCATCTTGGTCTCCTGTTGGAGATCAGCAAACAGGGAGCACAGGAAAGCAGCTTCAGGGAGCTCCCAGCAGGAGACAGAACAACTGGTGACCAGAGATATATGCCTTCCCACCCCCCTCCTTCTTCACCCCACTCAGCCTCCTCTGCTTCTTGTGGCCACAGTCTCTTGGCCAGGAGGCACTGGCTTCAGCCCTGTGCCACTTGGATTCCACCTGCCCACACTGGCCGGCTCCCTGAGTGCCATTTGTTTGTTGCTGATGTTGCTTTTTTCCACTTCTTTTGGTTTCTTCCATACCTCTCACTACCTCCCCCTGATTTCTCTCAAATACCTGGCTCCATATGCCATATTTGCTGCTTCTTGAAAGGTTGTGAAATGCCGCTCGACTGTGGAACTGCTTCTCGGCCTGCACCACCACACTGGTGGGATTTCCAGGGCTTTTGTTGTTGTTGTTGTTGTTTGTTTTGATTTGTTCTGATTTGATTTGTTTGTTTTCTTTTTCTTTTCTTGTCTTGAGAGCCCCTTCTACTAGCCAGGCTGTACTACTCGGCTTGGGAGCTACTTCATCAGTCTGTGCAGCCACGCAGTGGGATCCCTGGAGGTATGTCTTTTTTTGTTTTTGTTTTCTTTTCTCTCTTTTTCCCTTTTTGTCTTTCTTCATTTCTCAGTTTCTCATCTCTCTATACTTACCTTCACTTCCTGTCTCCTGAATACCTGGCACAGTGTGACACCTCTACCCCTTCTAACCAGGCTGTACTTCGTGGCCTGGGAAGTCTTCCCAGTCTTCGCAGCCCCACTGGTGGATTCCCCAGGGGCTTTTCTTTTCTCTAATATATGTATATATATATATTTTATTTTACCCTTTTTCTTTTTCCTTTTTGTTTTTCTTCATTTCTCGGTCTCTCATCTCTCCACTCCAATGGCAAGCTCCCTGAGCACTCTTTTTTGTTTGTTTGTTTTTGTCTCCTATTTCTCTCTCCTCTCTCTCCTCTTTCCATTACCCATCTTAGCTCCACAGACCACAGTCTCC